TTTTTTAAAAAAAAAGGTATCAAGCTCTTAAAAAATCACCCGTTATATATAATAGTACCCTGAAATGCCAGCTTAATAGACACTGTTGCCAACTTAGTGCTTTTCGCAATACATTTAGTGCTTTTCTTAATTCAAAACGCGAAAATTTTTGAGTTTGGTGCTTGTTGCATTTTTAGTTGTTTTTTTTTTTTTTTTGTTGGAAGCACCAAACCTGTAAATCTAAAATAAAAATTTTAGTTAAATTTAGAGCAATTGGAAGTATCGTAAGGAACTTTACAAAAATGGAAACAAAATCGTGGCACAATGACAATCATAAGCGAAAGAGCATATCGCCACTACACACGAATAAAGGCGCGCTAGTGTTTTGACGGTGAAAAAAGACGTTTAAAAAAAATCTTAAGAGAAAACACGCCTAAGGAAAACTTCGGCGAAGAAAGACGCGTAAACATAGATTTATACCTGGCCATGGACTATCCCTTCAGCATTATTCCCTAAAACCTCTTTGGGGAATTTACATACTGTTGCACCCGCAAACATAGTCGACCGCGAAAATGAGTATACGGGTCTAAGAGTAAAATGAATAACGAAACTTTTTAAAAATGAATCATCGAACAGGCAGTTTTTTTTGCACAGAAAGAGAAATCAAGTTTGGCTGTTTCAGGTGTGAAGCGGTCGTAAAGGAAAGTTCTTTAGTTGTAGAAAAAATTAAGCAAAACGAAGAAAACTTAACTAGGCGACACAGCAACGCTGGACACAGCTGAAAATTCAAAACTTGGCAACACTGAAAAAAAAAACATGTGTGTGTGTTATTGCTTCTGGTATGAAAATTTCAAAAACAGTTTTTTCTTCTAAATCAAAGCGTGTCATGTGAAACAAAAGAAAACATAAAAAATTCAAAGTGTAAAAAATAAAAATTGTTGTAACTTTCTTTCTTAGTAAATTAGTTTGCTTCTCGAAGCATTGACCCAAGGCGAATTAATATAAGGTGATAGCAGGAGTACAAAAACAAAAATTTACATGTATTTTGTCTTTGCTTTGGCGGCATAAACTGTCACAATCTGTGAGAGTGTGTGTAGAAATTCAAACAAAATTTTTCAATTTGATATCAGAAGCCGTGCGGCGAAATACATACACAAAATCAGCTGAGCTAGTAACACCACCTTATATAAATTCGCCTTGCATTGACCCATCCTTTGCAAGGCCCAGTAATCAGCGGCTGTACTGATTTGGGTGAACGTTCCAAAACAAACTGCTACTCAATAGCTTGTTTTGTATGGAGAAAGGTTTATCATGCAAATAGGTTTTAACAATTTAGAAGTTTTGTGAGAAGAAATTAAAAATATTTGACATTTTTTATACCAAATGATTTAAAAAAAAATCTAATCAGCTGCTCTACTGATGCTACCTTTCAATGTGCCTTGGGTACAACCAAACCAGCCAACTTTGTTGTTACTTCCACATGCAAAATGTTTCGTTAAGCGAGTAGAACTCAAATATAGCAAGCAGAAAAGTGGCGAACCGAAGGCGGCTGTTATTTTATTGTTAATTTTAAGATTCGAAGATCCGTATATCCGGTTAAGATCAGTTCATTTTGTTATCCGAATATTCGGGTTCCGAATATCTACATATTAGGATTTTTTAATCATATACTCAAATTTTCTAATTATCCGGCAAGTCAGAAATCTAGAAATAACTTCCTAACCCAAGTACGTATGTATACCAAATGAAATCAGAAACTTACCATCATATCTTGAGGAATATAGAAATCCGACACTGCCGCCGCTAAATACAACAATGCACGCTCTTCAAATGCCGCCAAACATTCACACGCAGCGCGCAGCAGCCACAAGTAGTCCGCAACCGTATTAAAGCTAATATATAAAATCATTTGTGATTCGCGCGCTTGCTTATATTTAGCTAATATTGGTGCGAATACATCAACTGAATCCGGTTTCACTGTTATTGCAGTACTCTGTCCATTATCGGTAATGTCGAGCATATCGAAAAATTGTTGGCCCGTAAAGTGGCGAGTGAATGGCTCCAAAGACTTGACGCGATACATAAATATCACGGCATAGTCATGGTCAAGGAAATATTCAGCAGATGCTGAGCCGCGTGTGCCGGCACTAAAATTGTCTACAAATCTAACGGTATTGTGCTCCAGAGGTACTGTGGTGCCACCTGACTGCAATTAGAAATGTAAAAGGAAAATATAAAGTTAGTGAAAATCCATCAAACTGATTTATGTATGTATATACAAAAATAAGTGAATATGTGCATATCTCGCTAGATCTAATTATGCAAAGCAAGTTTTCTGTAAATTTGGTCACACTATAAATTTATTAAAGAGTGTCTGATATGTAAATTAACAAATTAAAATTCATAACTAATTTTTTTTTAATTTCGCTAAAGGTGTTCAGCAAGTTACGTATACACAATACTCGAAAAGTAATTAATAATGAATGGCAATAAATATTTACGATGATAACGAGAGTAGGATATATGTATGTATATTAGGGTGGTCCTTAAATGCAGGAAGCAAATTTTTGCATCAGATTTCCTAAGCCTCAACCCCTACTTTGATGCTTCTATAGTCGAAGATATCACATATAAATTTCGGTCCTCATTGGAAACGGCTAAGGCGTGTCGCACAGCGGGCAAAGTACAGATTACCCTATGAAGACGTCGTAACCGACACCAAACGGGACCAAAATTTATAAGTGATATCCTCGACTTTAGTAGCATCGATTTTGGGTATGAAATGAAAAATATATTTTTAATTTTTTAAATCCGGCTTTTGATCCCTTTGCGACATGCCTTAACCGACTCCAATCGGGACCAAAGTTTATATGTGATATATGTGACCGCGGTATTACCGATTGAGGGGCTGAGACTGAAAAAATCGTTAATTTGATTTTTTTAAGGACCACCCTAATGTATATATGTACATATATATATGCAGCTGTTTCCATAATTTCGGACGTTACATTCGTACGACTTTAGAATTAAATAAATTATACGAAAACGCATACGCATTTATAAAAAGAAATGTGGCGTTGTGTAGCTTTTATACCGTCCTTTGGTTGAAAAAAAAAAACTTAGGTGCGCCTGGAACACTGGTGTCAGGAAAATCAACGAAAAGTAGGTCATAACGGACGTGATAAAAACAGAAATGGTTTCAGAGTACATGTAAAAATAAACAAACGTCTGTGAATCCTGTGAGGTTTTCCTTTCTTAAACAATTTTTAAATACAGTCAAATTACGGACCCTTACAACCAATTCATTTTTAACCAGAAGCAATTCGTTGCTGATTTAATATTCAAATAAAATGTGATAACAGAAGTGACGTATCGGACGTGACAGATTTTTACTATAACAAATATTAAGTTTAATTTTTTTTAATTGTTTCGTAACCTTTTTCGCCATCTGACATCTTACATTTTTATGGAAATACCCATATGCATGCATGAATGCTTGTACATTAGGGTGGTCCAAAAAAGTAAAGTAGGAATTGTAGTGCTCTCACCCCTAGGATTGTTCTATATCGAAAATAAGTATGCCCCTATTTTTTTATTTTGATACGCATTATTTCATACGCATTTTGCTGGTAAAAACATAAAAACATTATCCTAATATTAGATAAGTCAGCATCTCTGTTTAATTGTTTGCAAACACGTATTTTCGATAAATACAGAATAGGCACTTATGCACACAAAGGCATATACATTAAGGCGGATCACGAAAAAAAGCTGTCAGTGTCAGTTTTATTTTAAAATGTTTGTAGGCACCCGCTAAAAATCGCTAAATCGCGTTTTTTTATAATCAGCTAAAACGAATTGAGATAGATATAGACAAATGTACACATAAATGATCAGAATGAAAAAAGAAATCGATTAAGCGGTGGCTGTCTGTCCATCCGTCCGTCTGTGCACACGATAACTCGAGTAAAAATTGAGATATCTTAACGAAACGTGTACTTCTTTCGAGTGTGGAACAGACGGTATTAAAAATGGGGCAAAATCCCAGAAGACGGTAGTCTTCAGAATTACGAAAACTGCGATATTTCAGTAACTACTGAAGCTTATTCACTCAAAATTGATATTTACAATGCTTTTTAGGCTAAAAATATGATTATTGTAGGTTTGTGAGAAATGGGCGTAGCCACGCCCACTTATGATTACATGTCTATATCTTGGGAACCGCTCCACCAATTTCTCCCAAACTTGGCACAGTTTTTGCTCTTGGTTAAACATACAAAACGGCTGAAAATTTTTAAAACCAGACAATGACCACGCCCACGTTGGGATGTTATATGGGTATAACGGTAAATACGAAATTTTCGATAAATCGGTAAATACTGAAACTGATTTATTCAAAATTTACGTTTGCAATAATTAAAAAGTTACGTTTATAACAAAAGTTTAAAAAATGGGCGTGGCACCGCCCGCTTATGATCACATATATATATCTCGATAACCGTTCGATCAATTTGTACCAAGCTCGGTACAATTATTGTACGCGGCACTTAAAAGTAAGACTTGCAAATTTTTGAAATTTAATTTAAAATTACGCCCACTTTTAGTGTAAGGGTAAATTTCAGAAATGCTTGAAACTTTGATATTTCCAAATTTAAGCACGCTAATTTACTCAAAATTGATACTAACAACAATCCCTTGAAAAGAAGTAACATTATTTGGAATTGTGGAAAATGGGCGTGATACCGCCCACATATGACTATCTCATTAAGTCTCACTGAACATACTAGCGAAGATGTGTGAAATATGGGTAAACCGTCCTTCTTACGATGTAACGGTAGTCTTCGGAAAGGTGAAAAAACTATATTTAATACTTGCGCCGGGTATTTAATGTTCGGCTTCGCGCGAACTTAGACTTTTTTACTTGTTTGCTATAACTTTCTTTAGAGCTCTCGATTTTGTTCGCACATTTTCAAACAGCCCGGGTATATGAGCAGCGAGTACTCGCACACTTGTTCAATGCTCATTACTCGAAAATTTTCGAGCATGAGCTCGAGCAATTCGAGTTTTTTCGAGTAATTTGAACAATGTTTTTTTTATTATATTGACATTTTTGGTAGAAACTTTTTAAATTTTTCAATTATTGATATATAATGCAAGGATTGTTACATTGATATTTAATAATATAATTTATTTAACATGAATTAGAAAGCAGCTGCTGACAAATACAATTTACAAATTTTCTTTTGTTTATGAAATTGTTCAAAAACTCGAAAATTTTGAACAAACATTTGAGCAGTTGAGCAATGAACGAGTTTCGAGCGAGCATCGAGCTACTCGCATTGCTCGATACCCGGGTATCTAGAGCTCTAACTTTCTTATTTGATATTCGATTTTTAAAATGTTTGTATCGCTGAAAAGGCCTCGCTCAGGACTATAATATCCCATTAAAAAATGTTGGTTCAAAAAACCGTTTTAATTTATACCTTCATTCATTTGGGAAATACTATACCTAGATCAAAGCGGTTTTTAAACCCGAAATTGATTAATATATAAAGATTTTGAAAATCGGATATCAAATAAGAAAGTTATAGAAAAAAATGCGATTTAGCGGTTTTTAGCGGGTGCTTAAAAAACTTTTAGACCCAACATTTTTTTTTCAACATAAGTGTTTAAATAAAACTGACACAGGTTTTTTTTTTTTCTTTCATATATATGTCGTGATACGGCTTAATGGACATGCACGCACATGCACATTTACACTCTAACTTGCTTTTGAGGAATATCTAATCAAAATATGTATGATAGATATTTCCACTTCCGGTATTTATTTTATGTTTTCGCATTTATTTACTAAGTAAATAAGAAAAACTTATGTAATTTCGACGCTATGAAAATTGATAAAAATTATTTTTTTTAGCGTTAACGCGCATTACTAGCGTTAACTTCGAATTTACTTAAGTTTTTCTGATTTAATTAGGCTATTATTTTTTTATTTTTATTAACGCTCGGATCTAACATTAAATTGGATTATAAAGATACAAAAATAAATAAATTTCTGAGCTAGATTTTTAAATAGAATATTCTATAATAGACATCCGGAAATCCGACCGGATTTTAGCTAGTATCCGGCCGGATTCCGGATATCTACCCGATACCTACTCAGCACATCCCTATTTCTAATCATTGAAAAATCACATTTAAAAAAGTACATTTTTTCCTCTAAAATAATTTGATGTAGAAATAACATCGTTTGATTAGACACTCCTTATTTGACCGATATACATACATATGTACATATATGTAAATGTATACTACTTACCGTGACAAGGACGATACGGTTTTTCAGTTTATTGTGTCGTTCACAAAACTCTTTCAATAACGAGCGATTATCTTCAAAATCCGTTGGCGGCAAATGAGTATTATAAAAGTCCTCCCAATGCGTCATGTTGATAAGGTGTATTTGAACGAATATGAACGTTGCGACAAGTTGCTAATTTAATTGATGGAGAATTTTCTTATGTTTTTGAATTGGTTGATTTTGATTTAGATTTTGATTGGATGTTCATTGAATTAAATAAAGTGTAAGCGCATTAGCATTCAAAACTCTCTGTCGGAAATTAAACTTTGAACGATATTATTCTTATGCGAGTTGCTGTGAGTATTTTCGCTTTTGACTATGCGAGCGGAAATAAAGGAACTTTTTACTTAGCTGTAGGGAAAGAAATGAGAAAAATGTATTACAAAGGTGCCAATAATGTACTTGGGGAAGGGAATAGTGCGACAAGTTTATACATACATACATACATACACATGTGCAAAGTACAGTAGCTGGCTCATAATTTATATATATTCGATGCAAGAATTTTATTACACCGTACGACAGTAAATTTTACACACAAAAAATCAATATATTCGCGAAACTATGGGTAAATTGTAGTAAAGCTGCGTACTTTGTTTTTCTCTCTGACGTCAGGATTTTTTTTATTTAAAAAATAGATATGCTTATTTCAAAAAATTATTTAAAAAATTCGGTGCAATGTAGGTAAACAATAAGCATATCATATCAAAGAAAAAATTCTGTTGAATTATAAAAGAATAAATTTTTTGGTGCATAAGGACGAATGGGTATGGAAAATTTCCTTTACAAATTTTGTGCTTAAATATCCTAGAAAATTTTCAATATATTTTTTCGACACTATTAAGCTGGCATTTCAGGGTACTATTTAAATATATATAAGGAAATTTTGAAAGTTAGGGGGGCTCGAGCACCCCCTGCCCCTACCTGGCTACGCTTATTAGATATACTTACGTTTAGGGGTCGATAATTAATTTATCTTTCAGTTCATGTACCTAATTTATACGACATGGATATAGTGCAGCGAATTAAAATACAGCGGCTCCGCTGGCTTGGACCCCAACGCTCTTACTCCGAAAGTATTCAACTCGAACCCCGCTGGTGGTAGCAGACGAAAAGGAAGGCCCCCATTGAGATGGAAAGACCAGGTGGAGAAGGACTTGGCTTCACTTGGCATTTTCAATTGGCGCCAGTTGGGACAGAAAAGAAACGACTGGCGTGCTTTGTTGAATTCGGCCAAAATCGCTTAGGCGGTTACAGCGCCAAATAAGAAGAAGAAGAGAGTTATAATCCCTAAGCGCGGCCGAAGGCCGCCTACGCAGAAAGCTGTTCAACCCCTTTTCTTTCGCAACACCAGAAAAGAGAATTCTACCTAGAGAGGGTTATACTCCCTAAGTGCGGCCGAAGGCCGCCTACGCAGACAGGTATTCTCTGCAAAGGGTGTTCAGCCCCTATTCTTTCGCAACATAGAAAGGAGAATTCTACTTTGTGAGAGTTATAATCCCTTTAAGTCCGGCCGAAGGCCGCCTACTTTTTTTTAATGCTCTGTATAGTACGGACAAAGAACGTAAATCTATAAGAAGAGACAACAGGTTATAATTGTAACGAGTGGGAACATCAGGAGCGTGCTTTCTCTTTTGGCCAAATACGTTTTGTGATTGGATGAAAAGAGAAGGCGCGTTCCTGATGTTCGCACTCGCTACAATTATAACGTGTTGTCTCCGCTTATAGATTTACTTTCTTTGGTACGGACTGAAGACATGATGTTGTATATCAAATGAAAGCTTGTTTTATATCCTATTGGATTATGAAATGTTTGAATATGTTTAATAAGGCGATTTTTAAATAATCATTGATTGAAAATTTTGAAATCCGTGCGTTTGTTTTCAAGATATTTGGATTAAAAAAATTATGAGTTTAACCTTTGACCCTTGGTAACATTTTGTTTTTGTTTCCTATAAAAAAAAATATACCATTATACTTGATTCAAAAACCTCTATCGACGTCCTTGTTCAAAATTTGTCGCCCCGGTTATCGTAACCGTGCCGACCATTTTTGTAAAGGCTCCCTAGGGACCTATAAGGGGTCTAAGCATTTGGGAGTTACATTTTTGAAAACAGCAGTTCATGCCCTCCCTAAAATGGGGGTGGAAGGGAAAGTTTTCCAATAATGGACCAGGCATTGAAAAAAAAATCTGAAATTCCCCTTCCCCGGAGGCTTTAGCTTTTAAGCAATTCGTTGTTAAAGTTGCCAAAAAAAAGGAAATTAACCTCACATTTTCTTTTGTACATCGAGTGAACTCAAATAGCGGTGCTGCCATACATCACAAAAAAAATTGCAAAAATAGGTACTGAGAAGGGAATCGATAGTTGCATTCCAGGTGCTTCACGATTTGCAGGTTTTTACAGGAAGTCGCTCCAGGTGACTACCTTGCATAAGATTTATTAAAGGAGAAAAGCGCTGTTCCTGCAAATCCTGTAAAACCTGGGCATGAATCACGTAACTTTGAAACGATAGTCGTTCAAACGATACTGACAAAACGATGTTGCCAAAACACTGATTTATGCATTTGTGTTGCTGTTACGTGTTAATGTTACTGTTACGTGAAGCAAAACTGGAATCCAGTTGACGATATCGCACAAATGATCAAACAATTTTTGATTTTTATGAAGCAAGACTATCTCGACACGATATCGTTCAGGCGATTTTTTATCAAGTATTTTGGCTAAAAAGAACTATTAATATTTTCGACGATCCGGTATCTTATTCATGGCGGCCATCGCTCATTTGCATTCATTTGTTTATGAAGAAAAGATGGTCTATTAATAAAAAGGAAAGTGTTCATTAACAAACAATTGTGAAGCAGTGCGAAAATTTTAACAACGAATAACTTAAAATTTATTAGCATTTGTACACAAAATGTTGATGATATCGGTCAATGGGCACCTCCTCAACACCCCCCATTAAAAAATTCGCAATACTTTGGGTGATATAGGAAATCTCAGTCAAAAACAAGTAAGAAAGTCTAAGTTCGGGAGGAGCCGAACATTAAATACCCGGCGCAAGTATTAAATATATGTTTTTTCACCCTTCCGAAACCTTCCGCTAGATGGTAAGCCGAGGTGTATCAATTTTGAGTAAATTAGCGTCCTTCAATTTCGAAATATTGAAGTTTCAAGCCTTTCTTAAATTTACCGTTATATGAGAATCGGCCGTTATTTTAGTCCGATTTCAATAATTTTCAACGTTTTGCTTACACGTGGCAAGTACAAGAACCATACCGAGTTTGGTACAAATTGGTAGAACGGTTACCGATATACTTATATGTGATCATAAGTGGGCGGTGTCACGCCCATTTTCCAAAATTTTACCATAAACGTATTTCTTGGTAAAGAATTGTTGCAAGCATCAATTTTGAATAAATTAGCTTCAATATTTAATGATTTATCGAAGATTTTGTATTTCTCTTGCCGTTTTATGGGATGTGGGCGTGGTTATTGTCCGATTTTAAAAAGTTTCGGCGGTTTTTTATGCTGTACCAAGGCCAACAACTGTGCCAAGTTTGGAAGAAATTGGTGCAGTGGTTACCAAGATATACACATGTAACCATAAGTGGGCGTGGCTACGCCCATTTTCCAAAAATGTATAATATTCTTATTTGTCGTCTAAAACTTATTATAAATATCAATTTTGAGTGAATAATCTTCAGAAGTTACTAAAATATCGCAGTTTTCGTATTTCTGAAAATTACCGTTATATGGGAAGTGGGCGTGGTTAAAGTCCGATTTCGCCCATTTTCAATACCAACCTACCTTGGATTAAGGGAAACCTACATAGCAAATTTCGTTGAGATATCTCAATTTTTGCTCGAGTTATCGTGTACACGGACAGACGGACAGACGGACGGACAGACAAACATGGCTTAATCGATTTCTTTTTTCATCCTGATCATTTATGTATACATTTGTCTATATCTATCTCGATTCGTTTTGGCTGTTACAAACAACCGTTATGTGAACAAAATTAATATACCCTTGTGCACAAGTGCGCTCGGGTATAAAAATTATAGGTGCGTTCGTTTAAAATCTCCAGTAAAAACCAACCAACTGCCAAATTCCCGCGAAATGTCATTCGTTCGCTCACAAGAAAAAAATATCCCAAATAGTACGCGAAGAGAAAATTTGCAGAAACTTGCAAGTTAGACGAACAGCTGATATAATTTTTGTTTACATACAAAAGCGTAAAATTTAAAACGTACGAAAAGTCATCGCAAAGTGTTATACTGACACAGTTTATTGATCAAACAAATAACTACTTATTTCTTACAAGTTTAATTAGTCGCATTTTGTAATTTTTAACTTCCAAACCATCAAATTCAATTTTGTGATTTGCGTAAATGCCAACCAGCTGTTTTTGATCAGCTGTTTTCCTGTTGGCAAAAATTTTTCCAGCAGAAACCAGCAGCTTCCTCTCAAAATGAAATGTCACTTTGCTCTCTCAATTTCCCCTACTTTGCAAGTTTTTTGCGTACGCGAACGCAAAAACTTGTAAGTTTTGGTTAAACATGAATAATTAACAGCTACGCGAACGCAACTTATGTTAACCCATGTTAAGAGTTATAGTCTGATTATGGCAACTTAACGTAAACTTATCGTAACTTAATGCCACGTCGAAAGTTTCATTTTGATTCTTACTTGCTGCCTTCACAGGAAAAAGTTTTTATCCTGATAATGTTACTAAGGAAATTTTGCCAAGGAAGACTGCATATTGCTCTTGGCATGCAATAATTAGCAGAGCTTTTATCTTGATAAATATTGCCAGCAATTTGGTACTTTGACAGCTACATTTTCATTTGCGCGATAGCTTCGTGGAGACAACATTATTGATATTACAATATATGTGAAATCAAAAATTGAGCTGTTTTCTATACAAATATTTGTTATTATTTGCTTGGGTGTGAAATAGCATATTTTTTTAATTTTTTAAGTGATTAAATCCGGCAAAAATAGCCATCTTACAAATGCTTTTATCAAGATAAAAAACGCCCACGCACAAATATTGCCTCTGATAAAATTTTTATCAGGCAATAAAAACTAGTTGGTAGGCAAAAACTTTTGCCTGTGGAGACGGGCCGTTATAGGCCCTTTAGAATGGGTACTTGTACGTCAATAACGGAAAAGTAAGTGAAGGAAGTGGCGTACGTAACGCAGAGATACGCCACAATGAAGGTGTTGCGCCTGTAAACAAAAATCAGCTGTTCCTTATGGCCGCGTACTTGGGGTTTATACAAGTCAATTTTGCAGATACAATAACAAAACATTCACACTTTTTTTTCTAATATATTTACCCAAACAACGAGACAATTAGTACATATTCTCAATTTTCTTGTCTTGTGTAAACGCAAGGTTATACAACTGTCAGCAGTGACGGACTTATGTGCGTCAAAAGTTGAGTGTTGGCCAACATTCGTTGGGTCCGTCGACTCAAGGGTTGCCAATCTAAAGATCTCTTTGCAAACACATCCCTACAAGAATTGTGTGATAGAAACGTAACACATTCTCATTTATCTTACTACCACATTTGCAAATTTTGCGTTGTTTAAAAAGAGACCACTAAATAAGGCCATAAGTTGGAGGAAGACGGAAGATCACATGTACACAAATGTTTACATCACGTTTAGCATATTGGTCTTAAAAAAGTTGATAGAAGTGCTTGATTGAGATCTCCATCACCAGTGATTATCACATGATCGATCAAATGACTATCACTGTTATTGTAGGGATACAGTCTACTCAACTGTCAGTTTCATACTTGAGCGGGACGTACGCAAAGTACTTATTCTGACGGGGCCATTAGTTCTACATTCCGTTAAGTTGCGATCCCGTACGAGTCCAAGAATGATAGAATACAAGATTGCGCCGATCAGAGAGGATTTTTGAGAATGACTTTTGTGTGACGTCACACTGGTGCAATTGCGAGAGAGAAATGCCAAAACGTGAGCAAGAATGGAAGAAGAAAGAATGTTGCAAGGAAAACGTAAACAAGTTGCACAAGTGTGACGTCATGCAAACAACGATTCTGTCAAATTCGTTAAGAGAGGAATAGCGGTCCGAGATCGGCGCAACCTTTGTATTCTCTCAATCGTGGTACGAGTCCGGACTAGTCATAAATAGTTAGAATCAGTCAGATTTTACAGGAAAACGATCCCGTACTCGGTTCTCCGACTATTGAGAGGACTAAAAAGAGAGTAACTACGGTTCTCTCTCTGTCAGAAGTTACCAGTTTTAGTCCAAGAATTTTTTGCTGGTAAATTCTGGTAAATGTGTCAAACGATCAGCTGTAGTGTGTTTGGCAACCAAATTGTAAACAAAAGAAAAGTGCACTCTGCTAATTCATGTTGAAAAGTATTTAATTACGTGTTCTAATGAATTTGAAAGTATTTTTGGTTATTTACATGTGTGAGCTGAGTATGTTTACATACAAAATAAGCAAAAATTTACAACCAAAATTTTGAGGTTATGTTGAAGTTGACAGAAGTTACCATTTTTTACTAGAAAGCGATCCCGTACTTTTCAATATTACTCTCTCGCTCTAAGCGAATTTTTATTTTTTTGACAGTTTTCTAGTCCGAGTCCGAGGAATACGGGATTTCACCTTTAATAAACATCATATTAATCAGGCTTTTGTTTTGCCCATAATGGCATATAAATATTCTTAACGGTGTTTGCAGAAATTTAAAAAACTATCGTATCTAATATCGCGATGTAAAAAAAAGACGTCTCAGCACTGATAGTTCTGGGAAAGCATTGAAAATACTATAATGTCGGATATACTAACAATTATTTAATAAAACAGATTTGCTTAATATTACGTGCATACATGTATTCATATGTATAAATATGTACATATGGATGTGTCATATGTACATACACTCGCTGGTTTGTTCAATTGTGCTAGCAAGGTAAGTACTAACCAGATGATAGGCGCGAGCAGGAACAGATTTATAATAAAAATGAATAAAAGCTGCTAAAAATTACTTCAAAATAAATAATTCATCAATTAAAACGCGACTACATAACACTGAACTATTAGTTTTCGACAATTCCAGTGGTGTCTTAAATTATTAGTCGCGTATCACCAGCTCTCTCCCCGTACCGAACGCGCACGTACACAAAGGCGAGAAATCTATTTCACTTTCGTTGTTAAACTGTGAAGAATTCCGATACATTTATCTTGTAAACTGATTTACGTTCGACCTGTGATGTGTTCAATAAAACTCTGATTGCACTCCATGTCTAATGTCCAACAAGAATTTGACGGAAATCACACAAGCGCAGTGCAATTCTTTCTACCCCAAGGCGAATTTATACAAGGTGGTGTTATCGGAACCGCTGATTTCACGGCAAATTTGTATTATACAAGGTGGTCTTGTAAAATCAGCTGATTTCGTCGCCTTACATGTAATTTGTTTTTGCTTTTACTGATTTGACAGCACGCCCATCAAAAGCAAAAACAAAACACATGTAAACTTTGGAGCGAATTGAGATTTGACATAACATCCGCAATACAAATACAAAATACGTGCGGTTGTCGTTGTAATCTAAATTCGACAGTAACGCCACCTTGCATAAATTTGCCTTTGATAAAAGGTACAAATCTAGGTAAAATCACCTGATTTCTTCGCCTTACATACATTTTGTTTTTGCTTTTACTGATTTGACAGCACACCCATCAAAAGCAAAAACAAAATGTAAACTTTGGAGCGAATTGAGATTTTGACATAACACCCTCCATGCAAAATACATGTGGTTGTCCAAGGCGTATTTAACAAGGTGGTGTTGGCCGTATATAAGTAAAAAATTACACTAACAAATTATACGCTGATGTCCATACTGTCATTGGTATGAGTTACAACAAACACATCATTTTGACGTAATGGCCTCCACGGCGAAAAACTCAGCTGTCGCCCCAACACCACCTTGTTTAATACACCTTGTGGTTGTCGTTGTTATAATCTAAATTCGCCAGTAACACCACTTTGTATAAATACGCCTTGCCTTTTATCAAAATCAAGGCGACTGTAATATGAATTCGCCTTGTTTACAACAAACACATCATTTTGACTTTAGGAAGTACTGCGGCGAAAATCTAAATTCGCCAGTAACATCACGTTGTGTAAACGCGCCGTAAGTGACAGGGTGCTGCCCAAGACGAATTTATGCAAGCTGGTGTTCAGTGTTGATATTTTAAGTACAATTTACTTTTTTCAGTAAAATTATTTCGCACCAAAAGTACTTGTTGTACCAAAAATTTTTGAAAAAATTTAAGAAGACGTTTTTGGGTAGGAAATGACGTTTTTCAGACCAAGAAGGACGTTTTCTCATGCCGAAGAGCTGGCAACACTGGATCCGATAACATCATCTTCAAGGCGAATTTATACAATTTTATAAATTCGTCTTGACCATCTTGTATAGATTCGCCCAAGGCGAATTAATATAAGGTGGTGTTACTAGCTCAGCTGATTTTGTGTATGTGTTTCGCCGCACGGCTTCTGATATCAAATTGAAAAATTTTGTTTGAATTTCTATACACACTCTTACAGATTTTGACAGTTTATGCCGCCAAAGCAAAAACAAAATACATGTAGATTTTTGTTTTTGTACTCCTGCTATCACCTTATATTAATTCGCCTTGTACAAAACTTGTACTAGCGAATTTAGATTTTCGCCGCGGTCCTTCTGAATGTCAAAATGATGTGTTTGGTGTAGTATGAATTCGCCTAGTTTACAACAAACACATCATTTTGACCGAAACGAATTTTACAAGGGGATTTTCAAGGCGAGATTCAGTAAGCAGTCTCTAGTCACTTATAATGACTTTTCGTGGTGAACATAGATTTTGAGACTATTCGGTATTCAGTAAGCTGTCTCTAATCTCAAAATAAAGTCACAAATTTGTAAGCTGGCTCTGAGCTGGTCAAAAAAAGAAAGAAAGATTCTTTGATTTTTTTTTTATCTAAAGATTATGTACAAAAATAAAACTAACACAAAAAAAAAAACAAATAAAAATAAATAAAATAAGTCTGTGCGCCCGAGGAGGATTCGAACCCGGATCTCTCGAGCGGCAGTCTAATGATTTGATTACTCGGCCATTGCGACTCTTAGAGCAGGAGTTCTTAAAATTTTAAGATGATGGAACATTTACTAAAGACATTTAATTTTATGGAATCTCACAACAAATTATTAAAAATCAAAGGCATTGTAATTTAAATATGAATAAGAACTTTTACCGACCGCCGTGCTTATTCATACCAACCCTAATTTCGCGGAAGCCCGGTGACTTTTATACGGAACCCTCTGTCTTAAAGCTTTCAGCTACACAATTCAGCTTCACTACACATTTTTAATGAACTTTTTTAAAATAAAGAAAAATTAAAGGAACGCAAAACTAGCTGTAGTCAGCTAATCAATGTATTTGACTATTTAAAATATTTGGCGCGAATTTTTGTTTATCCATTTTGACAGCTGCAAGTTTCTGTAAGTAAAAAATTTACTAGCAGAAATTAGCAGGAGAGCCAAAAAATTGAGAGCGTAAGAACGAGAGAGAGCAATTAGTTTCTGCTAGTGTTTTGGGTTAAGAAACGCTTTCCAGCAGTAATTAGTGATAATTAACTGTTAAGAAACAAACCTTATATTTATTTTATAACTTGCAAGTAATGCATGGTTTCTTTATACTTTGTCAGCTTTCATTTTTATGCTAACTTTTTATTTCCGCCAAGCAGTTTTATGTGTATAACCTGTCAAAATTTGACCTAGCCCCATGAGCTAGGTAAACTTCTGAAGTTCGTATTCACCACGAGAAATGTCAAAATTTACCCTTTTCTGAATACCCAAATCAACTAATGTCACACAAATAGTCACTTATTTCTAGTCACAAGTTTAATGATTTCAGATAAGACTGAATTATTGAATACCAGCGCTACAGTTGGATGCACACTTATTCGTTCAAAGATTGTTCCATATCTGTCATGTTGTGCAACATACCTTATTAAAACGGATTTCGAAATCCGGCAACTCATAAGAATTATTTCAGGTGTAGTATGACATTTTCCCTGCATATTTTGGAAAATTTTACGAGGTTGAAGACGAGCAAAAATTTGCCAACAATGTTTAAAGAAATAGTGACAAAAGCCTTTTAAGCTTTTATTTGCATACAAAAAGGTGTATTATAGTTGTATACAAAAATTTTATCAGCTGCTGCATGCATGCTGGAGTTGGCTTATCAAGAGGTGCGACGATTGCCTCTAGTATTGAATGATAGGTACACAAAAAACTTTCCAGCTGGTGTCATTCGAGAAAATTAAAATAAAATATCTATTTGTATGGTATCGAAAAATAAACAAGTGTAATCCGATTACAATTTGTACTGTCGCATAAATCGTAATTATGTTATACTTATGAAAAATGAAGCAAGTTTTACTTTCGCTTTGAAGTTGGTGTTCGCTAAACCTCTTTCGTGCTGTATAGGATTAACAAAATGCCAAAATAATAATATTTCTGAATTACGTATATAGCATCTTTGCACCCTTTAATGGAGCCACTGTAAAATTAAGTAAATATACTTAGGGTGATACTACATCGAGCTTACTTGCGGGTAAAAGCACAGCCTGGCTCAGTTGATTGCACTGTAACTAATCATCTGCACCCCTTCCCTAACGTGGCCAAAACTCGATAAGGTGAGTGTACAACGGTTGTGATTTGATGACGCATTCAACGCTCATAAAAAAGCAAGGCGCAGCAGCTTCAGTGTATTAGAGAGCTCGCGTTTTTTTAAGAGCAGAACTACTGTTTATCATTATCATGCTATGTTTCTAATTTTTAATATATGTTAATATATAAATGTTTATCATTATAGATAAAAAAATATATATATAAAAACCAAAGAAAGCACTTGAAATGGCAGGCGTGCCTCCTATAGCACCGCTTCTGTGCAGCACTCCGCCACCAATTGATTTTGGTGAAGAGGACGACGATTCCGGTTTGCCGCCCACTTTAACACTTGAAGACGATGATGAATACGGTGATTTCGCGTTCGCCGCAGACATAAATGAGAATGCAACAAATACTGATAGTAAGGAAATATTTGATAAAAACATTTTGATCACTAATTTTTAACACATTTAATATTTTTTATTTATTTCTAAAGTCCCCTCATTGCCACGCACGCCGCTGCAGTTCGAACTAAGCTCATCCACGACGAGTGGCTTTACCGATGTACCACCAAGTTTAGAAGAGTGTGGTAATGCACCGATAACTCCACCTCCGCTGCAAACTGAACATGACGTTTGTTCAGCCCGCGAGGAAGTTAAGCTAGAACTAATCGAGGCAATTAACTACAATGTTGTAAGCAGAGAAACCAATCAAGAGCGTATTAGTGACGGTATAACTAATGTGGATGAGACTAGCAATACAAATGATTCAGTAACAAGCCACCCGCAACCAGAGAAAGACAATAATTGGGTTATTCACAACTTGAGTGACACCAAAATCACAAATGAAACTTGCGCGGAATCGGAAAGTCTGCCCAAGTTTGCACACACTACAGATGCTATTACAACTAAAGAAAAAAGTGGAACTGAAAATGTATCGATATTGTCTAATGGGCAGGACATTAAAGCACAACCAAATGCTATAACGATATTTTCCGAAATTCCTCCTCCTTTGACTCAACTTGTGCTGTTAGAAGATATAGCAGACGACAGTAGCGATGAGGAGTGCCATGGATCTCCAAAAAAATCCACCATATCAACAACGTCGCCCTTTACAAGCAGTGCTGACATAAATTCGGCGGATTTCTTTGCAATCCATGTCGTTGGCGCGCCGTCTTCACCAAAAGAAGACAAACCACTAACAAAAGTGGAGGATATAAATATGAATAGCTTGTCAAACCACGATAATAACATCTCCCATGAATTTGAAAATATTACTAAGACTACGCCCTATGGCGGCGAGGAACTTAATGACGATTTCGGTGATTTCGCAGATTTCGAATCGGCAACTGAGATTACAAACCCAACAGCCTGCCCAATGAAGACAGCCGATTCGAATGTGATAACCAAGAGTGACTGCAATGATGTCAAACCCGTAGGCGAGGTAAGAGGAGTAATGTTGATTTTTGAAAGCTTCAAAAATACATTGAATATTTTTAACTGTTTGCAGCTCCCTGTAGAAAGTACTACCCAAAATAATGATGATGAGAACGAGTTTGATGATTTCCAAGACTTTTGTTCGGCACCAACATCAGTTTCTAATACTAAACCAATTATATCATCGCAAAATTCAGAAGGTGTAGCAGCAACATGTAATGACGGGATTAAAAAGGGTATAGCACTAAATGAAAATAGTCTTGCAACGTTGAATATTGATTCGGAATCTCAAGCAAAAGAAGTTGAGAATAGCGACGATGACGACTTCGGCGATTTCGAAGAAGCTTCACTTGCCATACCCACTTCTGAATTCACTGCAAATACTGCTATTATGAATACACATACGCCACCTGCGACTAGTGGAAATATAAGTGGCCGTATAGGTTCGGTGTTAAAACTGATGTTTCCACCTGCAGATGAAAGTGTTGACAGCGACAAAGAAAGGACAGCGCCAGACGCTCTTTCCAGTTTGCAATTAGCAAACGGCACACTTCCTTTTGAGTCGATAGAAGCTGCCAAAGCCTTGGAATTTCAGTGGCCGCAGTCGGAAATACGGCATGCGCTTGTACGCTCAATAGGCATTGATTCGAGAAACATTGTAAGAATGAATAATGCAGTCATATATTATTTATGTTTATTTAATAACTACAAACTATGCTAAATAAATAAATAAATAAATAAAATTAATAATTACAAAATAATTTCTGTAGCTCTTTGGCGAGAATTGGAATCCATCAATGCCCCGTTTTGCTGCCAATCTCAGTTTTAATCCGCTAAAGCCATTGAAACCACAAACAGTCAACCCGTCAACAACAACAGCAGGCATCGACTCGGAACATTACAGCAATGGCAGTGACGTTAGCAACTATTCTATGAAAACGGATGTACCTGATGTTGAGTTTGATTGGCAAAGCGCCGGTCTAGTGAACCCACTTGACGGTAAGTTTCTTCATGTAAACTGACTACTTAACTGGTGTAATTTAAAATGAATACTTACACTTAAAATTTTAACGCTATACCAAGCAAAAATCTACAGAAACGCTTCCTCTGCAAGCTATTTAAACATATTGAGCTTTATACATCTTGTGTTCTTTTTTTTATTATTTCGAAGCTGAATTTTGTTTTCAGTCGCTTATTTTCTGCATCATTTATTGTCTATGCACATTTCTCCCCGAAATCTGTAATTAAGTTTTTTTTTTTGTTTACTTGCGAAGGCTTTTAATTGCTTTATATATCTATTTATATTTACAAACTGCATGGAAAACGCTTCATATTTAACTACGGCACTGTGCTATAAAGAAAAAAATAAAGTTCGCGTGTAAAATGTGTGTAAGTTTAAAATGTTTACAGAATTTCAATGGCTTTTCTGCTGATAGAAACAGTAATGCTTGTTTTAGTTTTTAATTAACATTTAAATCTACATGGTCCTCATAACTAACTTTTTGTAAAGTGGTTTATAAATCTTGCGTTTTAAAATTTACACTTCGAAGTTAATTCACAAAGCCCTAACCAACAAAGAGGTAGAGCTTTTTTACAAAGTGGCGTGTAGTTCCGTTGTTTTTGGTACTAGAACTTAAAAATTTTTATTGAAGGTTTATTTTAATATATTCTACCAAAATCTTTAAAAAA